CCGCCAGAGGGAGGCGCCTATGTCCAACCAAGCCGATTGCGTAGAATGTAATTACAAGTGTGAAGGTGTGTTGTACAAGCCTTTGCCAACATCGCTAACCAGTCAAATAAATGGCCTGAGAAGAGAATCGTACCTACGAGACTTACACGAGATGGCCGGGACAGCCTGTTGGCGGTAGGTGCATATTACCAAAGCCAGTCGCGTAGAATTCAACATCGAACGTTATGGCCGGCTTTGCAGGCTCATGCAGCCAACCACTACAATGAAATGAGATTGGAACTGCGCTAGATATGGGCGGGTCAGGACATCGGACTACCTTTGCACTGATAATGTACAAGCTGTGAGGAGGTGCATACGTCCAGAGAACCGAATGCGTATAATTCTTTGGGTGTGAAATGGTATGCTGATTGCAGGTGTACATACCTGGCAGTTGAAATACAGTCAGTGTGAAGAGCAAAAAACGTGCACGCGTGAGCTGTTGGGGAAGGTATCTTGAAGATTACGCTAACTTTCTTAAAACGACTGGAAAATTATTGCTGGTTGATGCATAGTTCCGCGAGTCAGTCAGGTGGAACCGAACAACAAGCGTGACATGTAAATGCCAGCCTTATTCGGTCGAGCCGCTGAAGTTCAATCGCCTCGGGAAGCGACTGCGCTTGCGCAAAAGCGCGTGTGCTAGGGAGGGAGATGAGCCCCCAATTTTCTTTATACTTTAGCATTCGTCCCAAGGGCGTTGACCGTAAAAAGCAACCAGCATGGCTTCACCCTCCCCCCTCCCAACTTGGAGAACTTGCGTCGCCCCTGCGCCGATATGGGGGGTCGGCTATCGTTCTACGCCGAGCACTGATTGTATTTGTTTGCAAGATTACGTAGCGCAGTGCTGCAGGCAGCTGTATCAAACAAGGAAAGCTCATCTTTTGTTACGAGGCACCAGTTTTGCTACGAAGGACTGGACCAGTGACAACTGAGCCCCAAACACTGCCAGCCATGGAACAGGTCCACACGGGCGCGTGTGCTTCTCGTGATGCTTTGTACACATGCCAGTCTGTGGGGCCACGTCATCGCGGAGGTCGAATGGTCGCGGGCAAATAAACTATGCTCGTGGGTTGAGCGAACGTAATCGTTGAAGCACAATGCCACGCGTCTTAAACGCGCAGACTCATCAACAGTGTAGTTAACGTTGTTCCGGCTTAAAACAAGGGCACCACAGGCATATATATATATATATATATATATATATATATATATATGTGTGTGTGTGTGTGTGTGTGTTGTTGTGTGTGTGTGTGTGTGTGTGTGGTGGGTGGTGTGTGTGTGTGTGTGTGTGTGTGTGTGTGTGGGGGTGTGGTGTGTGTGTGTGTTGGTGGGTGTGTGTGTGTGTGTGTGTGTGTGTGTGTGTGTGTGTGTGGGTGTGGTGTGTGTGTGTGTGTGTGTGTGGGTGTGTGTGTGTGTGTGTGTGTGTGTGGTGTGTGTGTGTGTGTGTGTGTGTGTGTGTGTGTGTGTATGTATACATTTATATATATTGTGATCTGCACCCTGGTTTGACTATTAGTAATCCTACCGACATGCCTTTTTGACTTTCAGCATAGAAACGCACACAAGCTCCTCAAGACCACAACACGCATGGCCTGACATTCGCAATGATTACGCAAACAGGTAGGGAGCGGCTGTCGGCTCCGCGCACAGGTAAGGACAGAGCACGACTGGCCCCCGTAGGTCACATGGCGCGGTGGCACGCACTGCAGCAGCAACAGACCTGCCAACCATTCACCCCTCATTCGCACCACTGACGGCGGCGCGGCCACAGGTGGAAAGGCCGTAAGGCCGAAGAACATTGTAATGGCTAATTGCTAATTAATGTTGCCCCGCACATCATCGTACTCATCGTCAAGTTATACACCACCGACTTACAGGTCATATATGCCTGCCACTAAAACAATTGTTAGTTTTGGGTATGAATATAGCCCGGTGTATTTGCCGGCAATTTGGGACTATTTCTCGTGAGTACGTCTTCATTTTCATACCATGGCAATTGGAAGGTGTTCCGCCCAGGCTTGCATGGCACATCATCATATTCGCCATAGAATTCAACGCAATCGGATTGCTGGTCATATACACCTATTATATAGCATGTACAAAGCTAACAGATTTTTCATTAGCAGTACGAATATTTCGATGCTCCGGTTACCCGTCAGTGTGACGTTTGACGTTTAGCGGCCCACCACGCATTGAAGTTTGCAGCCAGTGACGTCATGCTAACGTTAAGCGAAGATGAAGCGAGACTCGCCAGCGACTTTCCTTTTCTTACGGGGCCTTGTATCATCACAAACACTTTTATCCAAAAGCTAACTTGGTGGGTCGTAGCGCGTACAGGCGGCGCTTGGTACGTTTTGTAACCCTAACATATAATGTGTGGACCTCGAAAACGTCTGTTCATCTGTAAACATGTAGCTTTGAAAAACCCAGCATCAGTTTGTTTACATTGTAGCTGGGTCCAGCTACCTCATATTGCGAAGAACTTGGTATTTGTGTTGCTGCTTTGGGTACATATACACCAACCTGACTAAAGATAACTGTTGCCATCATCGATGTTAATCATTATTCATGTTAATGACCCATAAAGCTCTGTCGTCAGTCTGAATGGGCCTCTTGCTCTGCCAGTTCTTGACCCTGTGTGTGAGCTGGTGACATATTTCAGCAAGAGTTTGGTGGTGTGGCTTGTGCAATATGGCAGAGTGCCCTTGTCACCAAAAAGTTTATATTGAAACAGAACAAACAGCACAGGTATCAAGTTGTATCATTTTGCAGGGGCCCTGCCCCTCCCCCTATGTTGTGCTTCCCAATGTTGGCTTGGCACCCCCAATGCTGTTGGCTAGAATACTACAGGAAACATAGGTAGAAAGATGACCATAATACTAAGACTTCTTTGATGTTTCTGGAAGTGGCATTAATACTACTCTCATAACAAAAAGTCATAGTTGCTGTCACCACCATTAAAACCATAGGAGCTGAGCAGATAAATGATGCATAAACTTTATATGCAAAGGGCCATAAGACACATAATGGTTTGTCAGGCCAAAGTGAAAAGCTCTGGGACATGGAGATGACCTAAGTCCATGGCAGTCAGAAGAGTGCCATGGGTGCCCTAAGGTGGCCTCTGGAGGGAGCCTTCACTTGCCTAACAGAAGAGATGTATGCATCCAGTGCCTGCTGCCTGGGTCCACCCTTGCATGGCTTCAGTGCTGCTTTAATTAAAGAGGTATCAGTTAAACAAAGACTAAAAACATCTTGCCTTAATCAACATGAAGGGGGCTAAATGTGGTAAGAAAAAATGGGGTGTTTAGTTGTCCTGTCTTTGGTTTTCATCCCCCCAATAATTTACAAGAAGTGCCACCCCACAAAACAGTATCAAGCAGATAAGCTTTGGAAAATATTGGCAGCAGCCAAAGAGTGAGTAGGATCACTGTGACTGCATAGGAGCTGCCTATATATTAGAATTTACATGGAAAGGAAAAGGATTTTCAGGTGAAGTGTAACTGGCTAGGCAGTTGCATTTACACTTATCCATGGTCAGGGCTTGACCACCTTTCTATGCCCACCCATGGTACTGAGATCCATGTTGCCCTGTCACATGTCCATTTTGTTTTCACGGGCACCGGGAAAAGCAGAAAACGGAAGACGCATCTTCCGTAAAGGCATACAATCACAGGCAGGCATTATGAATACATTGCTTTTCTTCTCAATGTCTATAGAGTGTGTAAAAGGTCATCTGTATACTGTTCATGCATGGAGAGGGAGAGTTTCTTTATGTAAAGAACCAAAACCTAGCAACAGGCTGGGGGGGGGGGGGGGGAGACGCTGAGCAGCGTAATATCACACTTTGGTACAATTACATTACAAATCATGGGATAATTTAAAGCCCTGAAATGTGATATCATTAATTCTTGGGGTGACAAGCAACAGGCTGGTCTCTGTTTCACACGTCTAGCTCAGTAAGTGGTCAGACAGACATTACCCTCTTGGAGGACACGGTGCTTAGCAGAGTGTAACCGGGGCTGGGGGGGGGGGGGGGGGGGCGAGTGGTCCATTCAGCATATCCAGTGTGTAAGCTGTGTGTGTTTGTGTGTGTGCGTGTGTACGTGTGCATGCGCGTGTGCGGAAATGACCGCACATGCGTAATGGACGTTATGGACGGCTTTTAAGTCCTGATGTGCTTACAGTTGTTACACCTCCCATGTGCATATTACCTGTGCCAGAATGTTGGCTGTGTGAATCATGAAGGAGGCGTGCTCTGAGGTGTGCTCTGATGTGTGCTCAGATATGTGCTCTGAAGTGTGCTCTGAGGTATACTCTTAGGTGTGCTCAGGTATGTGCTCTGAGGTGTGCTCTGAGGTGTGCTCATTGGCATGCTCTGAGGTGCACTCTGAGGTGTGCTCTGAGGTGTGCTCTGAGGTCTGCTCTGAGGTGTGCTTTGAGGTATGCTCTGAGGTATGCTCAGAGTTGTGCATGTGCCAGCTGATGAGATTTTGGCATTGTCATTACAGCTGTACTCCTGATGGCTGCGTCAGGCCCCGTCTCCAGGTCCATCCAATCTAAACTGTCCCAGCTGAAGCCCAGCCATCTGGAGGTGAGGAGCCTAACTTGCGTTGCCTGGGTTTCTAGTAGGGGTGACGCTGTCTGCAATTGACATCCAATAAGTGGTCCTGTGTTGCTTTTGAGTGCTTGTCAACACTTGTGTAATACTAGTAGGCAGCAGCATTGTGTTTTTGATGCAAATTACGAAAACTAAAAAAGGCAGCCTCGTCTGCCTGTCATGCGGCCAGCGCTGGTGACATCCGCGAGAAAGTCTTTGCGTGACGTCACCACCTCCCGCGTGCCTCAGGTCATCAACGAGTCGTTTATGCACAACGTGCCAAAAGGATCGGAGACGCACTTCAAGGTGGTGGTGGTCAGCGAGGCGTTCAGCCAGAAACTGCCCATCCAGGTTGGTGCCAACACGTGTTAACTGACGTGAATTGAAACCACCTATCATGAGCCATTGCAAAAAAATCAGTTTTCGACTGGTGTCGCACGACTTCTGCTGGTGTCAGCCAGTGTCATTTGTTACTAGCTGGTGTCACCAGCAGCCAGCTAGTGCTGCACGGCTTATCGTGTTCTCTCTCCAAACCTCAGTTGTAGTCGGCGCGCCCCACAGCCCCAATCATCATCATCATCATCGCCTTCCTCATCCGCCCCTGGCGCTCTTACGCTCACGTTTCGGGAGTCGCGGCGGCTTTCCTGGCTATGTCGTGCGCAGCAGCCAGCTGGGGTCTTTGAATTGGCATCTCACACAGTGCGCCGCTTTGACTCCTGCTCCACCCGTTCTGACCTGACCTGACCTGACCTGACCGGCAGCGTCACCGCCTGGTGAACGGCCTGCTGCGGGACGAGCTGGCCGCCGGTGTACACGCCCTCTCTATCGTGGTGAGAGAGGCGGACCCGCAGGCGGGCCCGGCACGGGCGCCTCCGCGGAGGCCGGCCCGCGGGCGGCGCGGACCACTGTGTCAAGCGTTTTTGGGTTCATTGTCGTAGTTGCTTCGCTTTATGGACAACCCGTTAAGGGGATTTATGGATCTTGTTGTTGTTGAAGAGAACGCGATGCACATCGACACGTCTGTTACGGACCGCTAGCGACTGCATTGACCATATTAGCGCTCAGGAGTCGCAGGGCAACCTGGATTCGGACCCGGGCTCCCGACGTGGGAGTCTGGTGCACTGACCACTCGTCCATTGCGACCCGGGGAAGGGCATTTATGGATGGTGGAATTTTGTCGTTATGGGGATGTATTTGCAGCAGCTTGTGTAAAGGTCTTGATTTCATCGTCATTCGGCTCGTTTCCGTACATGCGTATCTCTGTCAATCGTTCCAAAATGGACTTGATCGCAACACCGTCTCAGTCACCGGGTCTGTGGGCCTGGAGCTGGACGCGCTGCCGACTGACGCCGATCGCGTGACCCCGCCGGCAGGCCAAGACTCCGGAGCAGTGGGCGGCGGCGGAGGGCGGTGTGTCGCCCAGCCCCAAGTGTCTGGGCGGCTTCGGCAAGTAATGCTCACCGACGGCCGCTGCAGTGTCCGCTGTGCCGGCGAGTAGTGCGCCCGGTGGCACAGTGGCATCGGCTAGTGCTCAGGGTGGCGATGGTGACTGCTAGCGTGTAGCGATAGTGATCGTAGTGTCTGATAGTGCACCACACTGGTTACGTGGAATGCGGCGTTCGGCGCCGGTGAGTGACGGGTAGTGTCGCTCTGCGGCGGCAGCGCGCGATAGTGTCGTTCGCCGCCCCGCTGCATGGACTGGCTGCGGCTGCGGCTGGCCAGGCTGGAGCTAGACCAACGCGTGACGCGGGAGCGCGACAGCCTGCGGCGACCGGCGGCGCTCGGTGACGTCATGCCGGCCGACGGTGACGTCACGGGCGCGGACGGCGGGGCCGCGCCGCCCAGCAGCGACGTGGCGTTCGAGGACGGCCGAGCCCCCCACGATTCAGGCGGCGCTCGGTCACCCAGTGACGTCACCCCCACGCCGTGTGACGTCACACCGGGCGACAGCGGCGCGTCGTCGTCGTCGGAAGACTGGCAGACGGAGGACGCTGCGACACTCGTGACGCGCTGTCGGCGCCAGCGGCAGGAGCTGCGCGGCCTCAAGCGGCGCCTGGCTCGGCTGGAGCGGGAGAACGCCGCATTGCGCATGCGCCGTGACCCCGACCAGCCGGAGCTGGACCCGGCCGCCATAGTGGAGGACATCAAACAGGTGGGAGCGGGGGTGTGACCCTGGGGCCAGCGTGGGGATTTGGAGCGTCACGCGAGGAGGAGGAGGAGGGGGAGGGAGCGTAAGGTGGCGTGCGGGTCTGAGACAGCGTGCGGATCTGTAATGTTCTTGGCCTGCCTCGTGTCTGGCGCGTTAGATAGGTGACCCAACGCAAGTCCACGTTTCTGGTGTGCACGCTGTCTGGTTCGCAATATGGTGCGTCTGCAGAGCGGCCCAACCCCAAAGCCCTTTTCGCAAAATCATGTGCCGTGTTCCTCAGGTGCAGTGCTGAGTTTGTCAGCGCCGGGTAACCTGACCCCCACAATCCATGGGCGGCTTCATATGATTGTGGCTCCGTTTCCTGCGTTTCGGCAGTTAAAAGCAGAGCATGTGTGGATGCAGGATTAAGCTCATGTAGAAAACACACTTATGTTTTAAACAAGTTCCCTGCCCCCTCCCCATGCAAATGAGATGTTTCCACGGCTGGCTGGTGAGTTCAGGCCGTCATCGGACCCCACTGGGATGAACCGGTGACCGGACCGGACCGGCAGTGGCAGGACACCGCTTCCGGCTCTGGTGGCGCTGCCCCACCGTCACTGTGACGTCACGTGTGGCCGCCAGGCGGCGGCGGAGACGGCGGCTCAGCTGGAGCCGTCTGGACTAGCCTACCAACCAGAGACCGGGCTCTACTACGACCACGACTCCGGCTACTACTGGGACCCGGGTCGCCAGATGTACTACGACGGCACCTCGGGCTACTACCTCAGGTCAGTGCGCCTCCGCGGAGGCTGGTGCCTGTTCCACGGCAACGCTTCCAGCCGCTGCCTAGCTCAGGTCAGAGGCCCTGCCACTGGGATCCGGTCAGGGAAGCGTACCGTGGTCTTAGGTCAGATGCCCTGCCATTGGGACCCGCCCAGGGAAGTGTGCTACGGTCTCAGGTCAGAGACTGACACGGGGACCCGGCCAGGTAAGTGTGCCACGGTAGCATATGTTGCCGCTTCGCAGGGAGGGTGCAGTACGGGACGACACCGATACCATTTAGCACGACTGCACCGCCGGGCTTCAGCCGCTTCGCAGGTAGGGTGCAGTACCGGACGACACCGAGACCATTTAGCACGACTGCACCGCCGGGCTTCAGCCGCTTCTCAGGAATGGTGCAGTACGGGACGACACCGAGACCATTTACCACGACCGCACCGCCGGGCTTGCCGCTGAACTTGTTGTCTTTCTGGCGGAGTACACATGACTGGAGACCAGTGAGCTTCATGTTACAACCATGGGCGTTATAAATGTTTAACCATATTGAGTTGTCAGTAGAGATAATAAAACTGCAAAATCAGAAAGGAAGATGGTGAAGTGGCGTTTGCACTGTTGTTTAATGTATAGTGGCAATGGTGGGATCATCGGCGGGTACATATCCATACGGCGGGCGCGAAGTCAGAATACACGACTGAGTGTCATCATTATGCACCTACGTTGGTAAAAGTCCGATGTCGGCATACAGTACATACCTTCAGTAGTCTCAGTGCATCCCTCTGTGGAACTGTAGTGACGGAAGGCGGAATTATTGGCATGGAGGGGTGAACAGAAGAAATGCGAGGTGGAAGACGAACTCAGGAAGCTATAATACGTGGGCGGACTGTGACTGAATGGCGAATTTTGAAGGGTGCTGACTGTCAACTGGGATTCGCGGGGCTGGTGCGTAAACCGGGAGAAGACATGATATGTGCTGTCGGGATCGCTCGTGGAACACACAGATTTGATTCGTTGGAGCGTGGTTTTATCGAGGATGGAGTGTGCATTGAGGATTTTATCCTGTCCCAGACCATGACTGGGCTGTAGGGTGTGCAAGCCAGCCAAGTCGGGCATTTGTGTTGGGTCATAGGTGGTGGATGGGTTATACTGGAATGATGCTTTCCGGCCGTTCCAGTTAAAAAAGGCGAAGCGCCAGACCAAACCGCGCTGTGTGTACTCGATAACGGACCGGAGGAGACACAAGGCAGTGATGTGGAATGCTATGTTCAAGGACTGCAGATTGAACTGGAATTCATGGGGACGCCTCACGGTTTAAGGCGACTCCCTGACCCTTGTCAGATCATGTTGAGTTCCCTTCCCCCAGGTGTGCACTCACTCCAACTGGTGAAATTAGTGCTCCAGCTTGCGCAGTAAACGTTTGTGACATTGACGCCTGACGTAAAAGCCGAGAGACACCCGGCGTCACCTTGTGTTCATTGGTTATTCACGCCACGGAGAACATGCGAGGTCAGTTGCGCGCGAGCGTCTCCGAGGAGAAAGCCACACTTCTTCGCCGGGAGGGCAGGCAAGCAGTGTTGAGCTGACACCCGTCCCGGCGATCTTCTTTTGCATCTTTTGGACAAGTGGCGGTAGCGTTACTGACGTATAGTTTGTCGCCAAAGCTGGTCTCAGCCTATGGGTGTTTATGCTCCAAGTGTTCATATGATATAGAACAAAACTGATAGCCTACGTCTGAAGAAGAGGGAAGGGGCTATATACCATGCTCCTCTCATCCCTGTGCTTGCCAACAGTAGAACCCTCTGCCCACAGGTATGACCCGGACAGTGAGTCGTACGTATAACGAGCCGTCTCGAACGGGGAGCAAGCGGACGCGGACGTGACCTCTAACCTGACCTCCTGACTGACTCTGACCCCGGCCGAGCCGCCGCGCCGTCGCCGCTCCGGGGAGGAGCTGGAGGAGGGGCGAGATTGAGGACGATGCGGAGGCCGAGGAGGGGACAGGAGCCGCCAGCCGGGCCGTGCTGGAGTACTGGACGGCGGAGAGGATGCGGCGGGCGCGACCGACGTCCCCGCCAGACTACTCTGCCTACGGGGGTCAGTGGCTGGGTCACGGAAACGGTGAGCGTGCGCCTGGGCTCCGCTACTGGGCCCCAGATTCAAATAAGCATCCTGGGTTTTGGTATTGGTGGTGGATTCCACAAAATCAAATCAGGACCTCAGCATTGAATCTTGGTGAAAGTTGGGGTTGTGTGTTTGAAGCTGAGTCTTGGGACCCTTGACTGCCGTAGTCCTGTCCGCAACCGGGCTGTGGCGAACCCGGCGGTTACAACAGCTGGTGAGTGGGGCGCACAACCCAACGGCACGGGCGCTGATCCGGGAGATAGTGTGGCCAGTTGTCTAACAAAGGCCGTGCTCAAGAAACGCTGAGGCTGTTGGTTACATCAGTGGAAGGTTCCCCCGCGTGTTAGAGAACACCTTAGGTCGTTGTTTACACCCCGTAGTGTTGAAATTTACCTTCCGTGTTGCGTCGTGCCTTACGACGGATCCGCCGGCAAAATCTGATCTGTTCATTGCCCTGTGCCTCGGTCTTTTCTCAAGTTTTGCCTCGCCACGCCCACGTATTGCCAAAAGAGTAACGTAGAACCTCACGCCAGCGGGATGGTGGCGGGTCCCAGCGCGCCCGTGCAGCGCGTGGCCCCCGCCGCAAGCGCCGGCCCTACGCGAGAAGGGTGACCGTCCGCCGGCCTGCCGACAGCCGGTGGAGCCGACGCCGGCCGTGATCCAGAGCGGGCCGAGGTCGCCGCAGGCCGTCCGCGACCCGCCCTGGCTGAGGATGATCGTCACGGAGACGCAGGTACGTCCGGCCGCCCCTGCTCCGCGGGGCCCGTGGGCTGATCCCCGGGCCTGTGACGGGTTCATGTCCACGACTAATGATCATGTCCCGCGTTTGATGAGCACGTCCACGTGTCCACGGTTTAAAGAACATGTCTATCTGTCCACGGTTAATGAGCATGTCTGTCTATCCACGGTTAATGAGCATGTCCACGTGTCCGCGGTTGATGAGCTTGTCTACTTGTTGACAGTTGATGACCTATCCACCTGTCCGCGGTTGAAATTGAGTGGCGTGTGTACGTATGTGGACGGGTTGGCTGACGTGTCCACCTGTCGCCAAGGTGGACGGCCTGCGGGTGGGGCTCGCTACACGTGGCCACCATGGACGGACTGACGGTGGGCCGCGACCCCCCTCGCAGCAGGTGACGTCCACACCCCCCCCTCCCCCCCAGCTCAGTCGGCGCCAGCGCGGTACTGGCCCAGCTGGCCCAGCGGTACGGTACTGGCCCAGCGCGGTACTGGCCCAGCTGTCCTGTAGGGCCATACTCGCTCGGGGCCCGCACAGCCTGTCCGCGGCCGATCGGTTCGGTCGTTGGATGCGCCCAGGAACACCAGCATTCTGTCCAGTCAGGTGTCTCAGCCTCAGCCAGTCTCAGTCAGGAGTTCTCAGTCGGCAGTTCGGTGCTGTTTGTTGCTGGTATGGAGAAGTTGCGGGTGTTTGAAAGTGCGATGGTGATCGAATTATTTCGTGGCTGGAACGTTTGATGTTTCCTTCAGGTCTTGTTGAGCCGACATACACCAAACGGAGTTTCCCCCTTGAGTATACTGAAAGCCGGCATCAGATGTACGCGTAATTATGAGATATATATATAATATAGGATATATTGTTATCTATATATATATATATATATATATATGTATATATAGATATATTTATTGTGTAGTATATGTATATGATAAGAAGGTAATAATAATGATAATAATAATAATAATGATAAAATTAGTCATTTTGTTTACGACCAGCCGCTTTCGAACGGGTAATCGGTCCATACTGGTTGGCGAGGTGCAGCTGGACGTCGAACAATAGATGTCCGGGAGGTCGATGCTGGCGGCGGACTGCTGACAGTCTCACGGGGCGTCGTCCTCAGCTGTACCTGGCCGACACAAGCCTTAGTCCAAGTTTCCACGCCATTATCGGCTACAAGGTAGAGAAGAACGACTTCTACATCCGGGACCTCGGTAGCAGAAACGGCACGTTTGTCGACGGTCGGCGCATATCCGTTGCCAAACGGTCAGCTAGCGTGCTCGAAGGTTATAGAACACAAAAAACAAAATGACCTTTCTTTCTTCCCATCTCGCAGAAATTTGGTGTTTGGTTTGATGTGTGTTCATAAACGCGGAGCTCCACCTCTTTCTATGCCGGTATGTCTAGTCTATGGTGGTATGTTATTCTTGTCAGCCCATCAGTAAGGACGCGAAGACATCGTGTGTCATGTCTGCTTCGTGGCACTAGCCTCCATGGTTGAGCTTGATTGATGCGTCCTGCTTTTTAATGTGCTGCATCATCGTCAAGCCACTTTCCTATATGAACTGATTTGTCTCATTTCACCAGTTCGCAATTATGTGAGCCTGTCAAAACCCCCGCGGCGAAAGTATAGCGTTGTTGTCGACGCCGCTGGTCGAACAGCCTGTGGGGATTGCACATGTGTGCCTCTGACACATATGTGGTCTCTGACACATGTCTGATCTCCTGACACACATCTGGTCTCTGGCGCATGATGTCCCTGGCACTGCCATATGTCGGCGCATGGAGACAGCACATTGGGGTCTGACTGTTAACCCAACCTGGTGCGTGACGTGACGTGACGTACGTGACGTGAGTGACGTGACGGACGTGACGTGACGTGACGTAACCTTACGTGACGTGGCCGGCAGGAATCCGAGGACACCTCGCTCCCGCAACGGCTGCAGACTCCGTCTGGGCTCCACGTGCCTCGTGTGCCACGTGCACAGCGGCCAACGACACATGCCTGGACTGCGAGCCGGGCCACACGCAGGCGCCGCCCGCCCCCCTGCGGCCGCGCCGAGGCAAGCGGCGACGTCCGGCAGCAGCGCCGCCAGGTGGCCGATCGCATCAAGCGGAAGTACGGCCTGCGCGCGGGAGATGGCGCTGCAGTCGGCGCGTCTCGCGGCTACGCGGACAGGGCAGCGGCGCGGCGCCTGGCGAAAGGCTTCCGTCCACTCGGCCGAGAAGACGGAGGACTTACTGCCGACGTTACGCGAGCGATTCCGGCGAAGAAACAAGGGCTTCCAGCTGCTGCAGCAGATGGGCTGGCAAGCGGGCCGCGGGCTGGGAGCCGCCGGCCAGGGCCGCCGTCGAGCCAATCAGCGTCGAGGAACGCGGCGAGAGGCGGTGGCCTCGGCTGCCGGGAGCCGGTGCTGACCATCTGCCGTATGGCGGAGAAGCGCAAGACTGAGGTGTGGCAGAAGACGCAAGAGCGCTCCGCAAGCTAGTGTGACGTCTGTGTGCGTGTGTCTAGCGGGGAGGGGGGGGGGGGGAGGGGGGGGGGGAGAGGGTGTGGAGGGGCGTGGTTGCCGGGCGCGCCGTGATCAGTTGTGATGTGCGTGACCACGAGTGTTTCAGTTGTGCTGGTGTTCCAGTTTCGCACCGGCTATATACTGTTGATTGTGATCAAGCCAATTGTGACTTAATACACATCTGAAGATTTATTGTTTGTGTGAGGACATTCAGAAAGTTAGCACAAGACATTCTCGGGTGCAGGCCATAGTTTGAGTGCAGTTGTGCCCCGGAGTTCAGTTTATTGGACAGTTAACCAATGAACTGTTAACACATCAATCACACTACAATTATCATTTTGTTGAGAAACCTTTCTGATAGTGTCGGGCTCCAGGACATCAGCATTGCACGCGTTCGATGGTGATACAAGTCCCTCCTAGTGGGTTATCTGAGCTCCATCCGCGCCGCCTGAAATGGAGAACCTATGGACGAAGGCCGGGAGAGAGCGGAGCAGCGGCGCCGGTCTGTCGGCCCGTCCAGCCCTGGCCGCGCGGCCAGCGCCTGGAAAGTGCGCCTGATCCGCACAGCAGGTGTGCACTGCGGCACAGCGTCAGAAGCGCCCTTGCGCCGCTACCGACTGCAGCAGACGCGCGGAACGTTAAGCCTCTTAGTAGTAAGGCGGAGCTCACGTGGTGGGCGGGGCAAAGGGCTGTTAAGACCTTACAGATTTAATCGGACCCGGCGATTTAAGTATGGGGGATATAATCGGCGATTTAAGTAGCTGGGTTTCTGGTATCAGAGCTCACGCTAAACAGTGCTTGTGTGGGCCCTGACCCCCACCATTTGATGGTGCAATTCCAGGTGTACCGCAAGATCTGGTGGCAAAAGTTTAACTACTGCAATGCTCGGCGCGGTCCGTCTTACTCCCTGACGTCATCTGACTCATCGGGACCGCTGCCACTGCCCGCACGCTACACCTGTCAAGGGCGAATAGCGGGCGCTTATAGCGGCCCGAACCCACCCTGCCACGGTGGATGGATGGGGGGGGGGAGGGGGGGGGGCGGGCGCTCTAGCCAACTAAGCCATCGGGACGGTCAAATGGGACCGGACGGGACGGGACGGACGGCTTTGCCTCTGCTAAAATGTGTTTGCTTGATGCGCATGAACAGTTTGTTATGTGCGTTCGGAAAGCATGGGTTCCATATAGCTGTAGAGTAACTGAAGTTTGGCCGCTTGGCGAGCGCACAACGGGGATTTTCCTCGAAAAACTCTGCAGAACGACATGAAAGCGGTGAAGCACCTTCCGTGGATTGCCCATCAACATTACGGCTCCTGTGGGGAAGGAGAATGTGTGGATAAATTTAAAATAGGAAATATAGTGGGTGCACTTGGATATTTCTGTTGTCGTTTTCAGGCTCACACTCACACTTAAAGGCATCAAACATCCGCGTTGGATATGTCCGAACGGTCATGAGGATTTCGTGCCGTCGTGAGGACGTCGTGAGGAATTTCGTGACGTCACAAGGAATGGTTTATCCCTCCGAAGCGCACTACTAGTAAATAGCCTCCATTTTGTTCAATCTATTCCAAGCCCAACGGAAAGCGATTACTTTGGGACCTCGATGTCAGGAGATTTTAATGATAGGCAGGTTAGGTTTTGGGACTAAATGCGACTCGTCTTCCAACATTCTGTAATTCACCAATTCATTGTCCATCCCTGTACCACAGAAACGGTTAAAAAAAACTGGAACGGTGTGTCCAGACACGAAGGGTACAAATTTTATTGCTCAAAATCGACGGTACAATGAACAAGCACCCAAATGTGCCACAGTATCCTCGACCTGGTCACATTGCATTCCCTTCGAGGCAAGTCATTCCCGCGAGTCCGCCCCGTCCTATTCGCGACCAGCGTCTCGGCAACGTTATGCGCCCGAATGCCTTTCCTACATTAAAAAATGCTGAAGAGTCCTCTAGATAAAGTAGCTTGCTGAGGGTTATTCCGCGCAGCACGTTCTACTGATAACACGAAGGGATGTTGTTCAATCAACGTTAACTCGACCGGGTCGCGGTACAGCCCCATTCGCGAGTCTAGTGACGAACTGCGAGGGCATGATCACGTTTGCCGTTTTCGCTAGTTAAATTCTGATTGGTCGAGTCCGCTCCGCCTCCGCTGCATACTCCACATACGTCACCGAGCGCGGCTGAGCCAGCGGAGTCGCCAGCGCCGCCGTGCTGCGCGCTCGGTGGCGGCGCTTCGGCTTCCGGAGTAGATCACCACCAGTATCACCAGTAGACAATGATCTTTTCGTGGCACTCTCGTCCCCTCGTGTCCCCGTACCACTTCCGTTCCCGTGTCTTCCCGCATCACTTCCGTTCCGTGTCTTCCTGCATCACTGCCGTTCCCGTGTCTTCCCGTATCACTCTGTGACTGGACAGGCTTGCGCTCAGGGTGTCACGACCTTGAGCCGGGCGCGTTCCCCGCTAGACTGCTGAAGCCCGAGCTGTTGACATTGGACGCAGTCTCCCCCTGGGAGTCTCAGCCGACGGGCAGTGCCGCGTTTGCGATGTTCGCCTGGGTGTGAGACGCCGTCCCCTCCCAGCAGCCGAGAGCAGAAGAACGGGGTGGCAGACCCAGCCATGGATGCACTCGAGGTCATGCCAGTAAAAAGTCTTGTGCCAGTCCTACCGTTTTCCAAAACAACGTCATTCGAAATGTTGTGCGAGGGCGGCAATGATCCCAGGGCCCACACTGTTCGCAAATTTTTATGCGTACATACACTGTGCCCCACACTGTGTGCATCCACTGTGTTCCACCGATCCGGGATGAATACACAACTTGCCTCCGGCCACCGGCTCGGAGCCAACCCGGTGACTTGTCTCTTCCCAGCTCCCCAGCTGCTCACGCGAACACAGAGCAGCCGTCGTCTCAATCCGGCAGTGGGACAGCGCTGCATGTCCTAACAAACACTCCGTCTCGGCTGGGGGTCTGCTGGAGGCCATCGGCGGCGGCGGCCGGCTGCATCAGACCCCGGCGAGGCCTGCGTCGCGGCCGGCCCGCCCCGCCGCCGGCTCAGTCGGGCATGAACACGCTGTTGGCGACGCCCGTGGCCGGTGCTCTGCACACGACCTCGCCCAGGTCGATGGAGGAGCGGATGCTGGTCTTGCGCGACTCGCTCTCCTCGGCGATGACTGAGAGCGCCTTTACGCTGAGGAACGCCCCCGCTGACTCCCTCTGGCGCTCCATCAGCGCGTTCCAGATCAGCGTCACCTGCCGCACACGGGAGGGTGCTGCGTGGTGCTGGGCGCTTCCGCTGAGGCTTATGAGGTTTGATTTGTGATTGGTACGCATTTTCCTCGCAGGAGAAACACAATAATCGTGGCGGTCCAAGAGGCGGAGGCAGCGAGTTTTGATAATACTGCTCAAATAGTTGCGATTAAAATAATACGCAAATAATAAAACTGTGATTCACGGCAAATGCCACCTATGGAAGGATGATATACCTGAGCTGAATATACGTCATTTAATTTTAATACAATGGTGCAACTATTTTGGGCCTGCGAGGTTGAGACGGGTCCTCACACAACATTAGACAGGTCCAGCTGCGTTAGCGGAGGTGGTGCCGCCCTATCGGTGACCTTACGTACCTCGCGAAACCGCGTCTCGTCCAGCCGCGTACTCCTCGCCTCCGACGCAGGCTGCGTCACCAGGACAACGGGGGCCGGCAACCCCGCCGGCGCGGACGGGGTCGCCGCGACGGTGGCGCCGCTCTGGCGGCCCTCCGGCGGAAACTCGGCCAGGGTGCGGGCGCGCCGAAGCGGCGGCGCCCGGCGGCGCGAGTCGGTGGAGAGGCTGGAGCGGAGTGTGGTGCGCGAGGGCATGCTGCTGGCGCGCACAGACCAGCCCACCCGGCTGCTGCCGCCCGTCCGGAACGCTTGGTACTTCACCTGCGGCGCAGCGGGCAGAGCGTGCGACGGCGGCGGAGACAGGGAGCGGCAGCGACGGCAGCGGAGACAGGGAGCGGCAGGCGGTAGTGAGGGGGGATGGGGAGCGGTGGGGCGAACCTGGAGACAGCCAACAGATGGTTGCTGAGCGAAGTTTCGCGGCGGGGACAGATAACAGCGAAGCTACTCGGTATCAGGGAGACAACGCTGACATCGCTTGGTGTTAAATGCAGGCATCGCCCACGTTACTCCGCGTCAGATCCAGATCACAACAATTGTGCAGCCATGGGGAAGGGCCCGGGGGAGAGGGAAGGGGGACCTCTCTATACCCGACTTTTTCCGTTGTCACGATAAATAGCTCACAACAGAAATGTAAAAGTCGGCATGATGCGCACCCGCGGAGATCTGCCCCCCCCCCCTCTCTCTCTCTCTCTCTCTCTCTCTCTCTCTCTCTCTCTCTCTCTCTCTCTCTCTCTCTCTCTCTCTCTCTCTCTCAAAGCTCTGCTAAGGGGAGTATCCCACCTTTGGGGCATGCTGGAAAAAATACTCTAGTGAAACCTCAGGACCAATTACGTCTAATAGTAATACTATGTAATGTCGCTGCACCACCGCCAAGACATCATAAATATATCAATTTTAATTATTTTCTAATCCAAAGTACGCTGTAAACACTTTGTGGCGGGACTACGCTTCTTCCCTGCAGTCACGATCGTCATCATGACAACCGTGCGCACCTTTGTTGGTGCAATAAAAGAACGTGTGTGATTGGCCGGTGGGCAAGGGACTGTTACCGAGAAGTTGGTTGGTCAATGTTTGAACCAGTGGGTCACATGGATCATGTGGTGCTCACACTTCCAAAGCCAAAGTTCGCCTCGAAAGAGCCACCGCGGTAAACGCAATAGTGGATAAATCATAGTCACAGCGTTGCGTCTCGTTGAATTCGCGGGTGAACAACTTCATGTTTGCCTATCTTTTTGTTTAAACAGAGGGTTTCAACTTTTTGTAGTATGTATTACGCAAACATTTCGACACATAAGTATGTTACAAATATAATATAACGCGCATGTTGGAAAAAGTAAGGCAGGTGAAACATTTTACTTTCATGGTGGGGAGCATGGAGCTAAATGAGATTTCTCCCGCACGGTTGGCTGCTTCAAATGGAAGATTTTGAGCAATTTGGAAGAATTTTGAGGAAATTGCGAATACTGATCGAATCGTCCGCGTCTGATGTAACAATAAGTGCAAAGTACAAAGATGGTGGGATATTATCTTCAAAAAATACTGGTCACGCCTCTGAGTGGCAGTGACCTTGTTCGGTATCAGCTCCCGATTACACGAACAACGAGCGTTTTCAGAGACTGATGTGCCGACCTTCCTCACAACTAGAGACAACTGACATACCCTGGTAGGTACAAAGACAGAGGGAATCGATCTGGCTCGTTGTCGGATACACATGACACTGGCGTCCCCTGGTAGTGGAGACGGATGACGTCACCACGGCCCGGTAGCCAGGGGCGGGTGACACTGACCCTGCTTGGTCACCAGGGGCGGGTGACACTGACCCTGCTCGGTAGCCAGGGGCAGGTAACACTGACCTTACTCGGTAGCCAGGGGCAGGTGACACTGACCTTGCTCGGCAGCCAGGGGCAGGTGACGGTAGCCGCTCGTCGGAAGTTTTCGTGCATAAGAGCGTACAACAGCGGATTGATAACCGGGACCAGGTACATCATGAAGTGGCTGATGTAGTAGAGAACGGTGATCCATTGTTTACTTCTCTGTCGAAGGTAGTGTGGTACATTTTCAGACTTTCTGAGATTTTCCGATGTAATCAACACAGTTATAACATTATGATTTCGGATCACGTTTGGTTGGACTTAAAGCACGCTTCAAAAATCGTGTTCGAAACTTGCTTACGGGTGCTCTGGGTTTTTATGAATGGTCGATAACGATGCATTGAACCAACTGTATCCATTGCAATTACGAGCTATCACCGAAACAAGAAATATTGGGCAGTCAATGTCCTATACTTTACGGGTACTTGTACGGCTTGCATAAATTCGTATAGCTTTCTTCTGCAGCAATTATACGCTGCCGGGACGAGGCAGAGACAACAAGGAGACAAGCACTATAAAACAAAACACTAGTATCGTTCTGCTCGACAGCGGAAATGTCCGAGCGTCTCCATTTGCTAGCCTACCTCGCTGTTATGGTCTTCTCTTCTGTACTGGTAAATGACGACGTACACGAGAAATGGCGACCAGCAGACAAAAAAAGTGACAAACATGGAGAAGACCAGCGTGACGGCTCGCTCGCGGGACCGAGCTACCGGCGGCACAAAACCTGACGGCACAGGGCAGGCGCCGTCACGGACAGGTGACGGCTCGCTCGCGGGACCGAGCTACCGGCGGCACAAAACCTGACGGCACAGGGCAGGCGCCGTCACGGACAGGTGACGGCTCGCTCGCGGGACCGAGCTACCGGCGGCACAAAACCTGACGGCACAGGGCAGGCGCCGTCACGGACAGGTGACGGCCAGCCGTCACTTCACATAATGCTGTAAGCAGTGCCTCACATGGTCTTTTGCGGGCTGAACAGCGTTAGGCTCTGCTGCGCCCAACGCCTTTCACAATACCGCTCACAAGACCACGGCCTCGCTGCCAGGGGCCATGTTGCATGAAGACTGTACTGTCTGTGCGAAGAGGCCGGTATAGGCTATGCGACCCGGAGGTCAGGAGAACACAGCTAGAGCTAGAGCAAACCTGATGTAGGGTAAGCCAGGTGGCAGAAGTCGTGATCAGGCTTGACGCTATTGCAAACTTTGACTTACTTTACCACAATAGAATGTAAATGTTTGGAATCATTACTGAAAATAAGCTTCAGTCTAGGACTCTAGGAAATTACCAATCGTAACCGCGTACAGCGCGTTACTCACGGAGCTGTCCGCTCTTCTTTTGGCTGAGGTTGAAGTGGCGCAGCTTGATGAAAATCAGTATGAAGCAGGTGAAGAGGATGCCGGCCGGGACCCAGACCAGGCATATCGCGATCACCCACCAGTACTTCTTCATGGCGGAATCTTCTTCGCAGAATTTGTCTAGGAAATCATGGTACTGCCTCATCTGAGAAAACGAGGAACAAACTTGTCGTGCGGCTGCTAATGAGCCTTGAGTTTCCGTGTGGCGCTGGACGGCCAAGCATCTGTCTAGCTCACTGGCAAGGCTCATCAACTGCTGCCAGAATCTGCCCCGTGCAACGTACAAAACTTTCATGGCGTGGTACAAAACTGTGCGTAGCTAATTTTTCGACTTGGCAATCAGCTGCAAAGGGTTACTGCCAATGCTAGCAATGTCTGAGACAGCAATGATCTAATCGACAGCACAGGCCAGGCGCTAGCGTTCATTTAACACTTCCCCACATTTCGGCAACCGAAAGCGCGCACCACCCCCACAGCTAAAGATCTCTCCCAATCAGTCCTGTAACCAGTCACCGCACGAGCTTCGTGATGCGTGCGGTTGGTGGCTATTCCTCTTACTCCATATTTTGTCAGCTGCGACGGGCAGAAGGCCATGCCTCTTACCCCATATTTTGTCTACACAACCCACACAACCCATACTTCGTCAGCTGCGACGGGTAGAAGGCCACCGCAGGTGGCCTTCTGCCCACGCCATGGCCACCCCTGCCCACCCCATGGGACGGGTAGAAGACCACCGCAGCTTACCCCATATTTTGTCAGCTGCGACGGGTAGAAGGCCACCGCAGCGGCCACCACCCATGTAGCGAGCATGATGAACTTGGTGGTGAGGGGACGGAACTGTTTGTGAAACGGCTTTAGAAGCCCCCAGAGCCGGTCAACGCTGATCACTGACAGGCTGAATACTGACGTCAGCAGGAGCGTCACTGAAACACATACGACGGTCAGCAGGAAAGTCACTGAAACACAGGCGAAGGTCAGCAGGAGAGTCACTGAAACACAGGCGAAGGTCAGCAGGAGAATAACTGAAACACAGCTGAAGGTCAACAGGAGCGTGGCTGAAACACGGCCGAAGGTCAGCAGGAGCGTAACTGAAACGCAGGCAAAGGTCAGCAGGAGCGTCACTAAAACGCAGGCGAAGGTCAGTGGGAGAATCACTGAAACACAGCCGAAGGCCAGCAGGAGCGTCACTGAAACACAGACGAAGGTCAGCAGAGGTACCAACAAAACGCAGAGGGAATGAGCGGCATTACTGAAACATGCTCAGATTCACGTGGCGCGTCTCTGTAGCATATGGTAACCGCTGGTGGTGGACGGCAGTGAAAGTCGAACCATGGTGGTGATCCGGATATATCTATTTCTATCTATCTATCTGTCTATATATATATATATATATATATATATATATATATATATATATATATATGTCTACACAACCCACACCATGACCACGGGAATGGTGCCCACGGGAACTGGCCACCATATATATATATATATATATATATATATATATATATATATATATGTGTGTGTGTGTGTGTGTGTGTGTGCTATGGCGATGACCGCAGCCGCTAAGAATTGCATGTACTGGTGTGACGAAAATACTCCATTCAACTTAAGCTCTAAATTTCGATTTGAGTGAAACAGATAAGCGTATGTCTGTTCTTCATCAATGAAAGATGTATTCCTCAGTAAGCTCTGCAACCAAATATGCATGCACTGAAGTGGCCAACAGAATCTTTGCCACGATGGACAGGGGAACATATCATCGCAGTGGTCCTCGATGTATCTAAATAAGTTCCTGCTGTAAGCCATGCTGTTACGATGTCACTGTTGAACTTCACAACACCGAAACTGTCCCATCCAGGACGACACAACCTAAGTTAGGAGTGGAGTAGCAGACGTAGAGATCCCAAAAACAACATGCTTCCGTGCGTGTTGAGGATGATATTTTAAGAATATCGCTGGGAATGAAGCTAGAGTTTTGATGAACCTGTGGCTTATTATAGGAATGCGACGACAATTTCGCCGCGTCCTTTTAATCATAGACAACGACGCACAGACATGCTGTGGAGCAATACATCACATCGGACGGTCTCTCCGTACGGCAGCACGTCCTCGGTAAAGATATACCGCACACTGTCGGTGCTATCAGCGGACACGGCAGCCCGCCCTCGGTAAACATATACCGCACACTGTCGGTGCTATCAGCGGACACTCTTTCTGCGCACTCTTATACCTACTGTGCATAAGCATACTGCTGTCTAGCACTTTGCGTCATGAGCATAGTTACATCTAGCACTCTGCCTTCCATGAGCATAGTCACATCTAGTACTCTGCGTTCCATAAGCGTACTCACATCTAACACTCCCCGTTCCATGAGCGTACTCACATCTAACACTCTCGCCGTACGTACACCAGCCTTCGCCGAGTTCGTAAGCCTGGAACACCGTGCCCACCATGAACGTGATGGGCAGCACCGCTGCGACGATCAGGTCGGCCGTCGCCATGTTCAGGATGAACATGTTGATCTCGTTCCGCATGATCCTGCAGCGAGGCGGTGACGGGGTCACTCAGATATGGAGTGATGCGACGACGGCACACAGGCTAGAGAGGCGAGAGGTGACACTGGAGAGGCGGGAGGCGACACCAGAGAGGCGGGAGGCGACACTGGAGAGGCGGGAGACGACACCAGAGAGGCGGGAGGCGACACTAGAGAGGCAGGAGGCGACACTAGAGAGGCGGGAGGCGACACCAGAGAGGCGAAAGGCGATCTAGAGAGGTGAGAAGCGACAGTAGAAAGGCGAGAGGCGACATTAGTAAGGCGTGAGGCGACACTAGAAAGGCGAGAGGCGACACCAGAGAGGTGAAAGGCGATGTAGAGAGGTCAGAAGCGACAGTAGAGAGGCGAGAGGCGACATTAGAGGCGAGAGGCGACACTAGAGAGGCAAGAGGCGACACCAGAGAGGTGAAAGGCGATCTAGAGAGGTGAGAGGCGGCAGTAGAGAGGCGAGAGGCAATATTGGTGAGGCGAGAGGCAACACTAGAGAGGCGAGAGGCGACCGGAAATTGAACGGATGGTGGGTGAAACTGGGCATAAGTTTCGGACAGCAATCACAAAGACAATGCTGCAACTAACTTATCATGCCCAAATTGTCGCTTGACTGGCAAAACGCCTCACAGCTCCGGATGGGCATCAAGGACGGCGAGCTAAATGAAGGTATCTGATAACGATCTACGGAGCGGGCAAATGAGCTGACGGAAAATTGCGACAGAAAGGAACCGGACAGCGGACGCATACGTGCCATACGCGGAATGGAAAGGGTGCAGGAGTCGGTAACGCTACAGATCACAAGCGCTCGCGCTCGATCCTCAGCGGCTGAAATTTTTGCTTTAACCCCAATACGACTTTTTAACACCAGCTATCTTGAACACTAGAAGATACACTTGTCGCCTGAGCTATGCCCAGCATGTAAGATTCCACCTGGTAAGTGGCACCAGCTCCGGCATCTGACGCCTGTATCAATAAAGCGCATATCAGAGCATTGGAAAAACGACACCGCGATAGTGGTCCCACGATAAACACCATCTGCTCGCGGGCAGATGTCTCCCACGGATCTGGTCAGTCGCTTGCACCGGTGGCGAAACGAAGATAGCAGAGGGCACACCGGGACGCCGAAATCGTCGCCTCAGTGCGAGAATTGAGTTATCACGCATTTGTCAAGACGACGAAATGCATGAGATCGACAGCCACGAATATGACAAGTTTATTTTGCTGGGATAACATCTTCGCTCATCGCTGCTTTCTGCGCAAAGCGCCATCCAACCTTGTGGGGTCCGATCACTCAGCGTATATATACTTGAGCTGGCCCGGTGTGCGGCAGGGCATTTAATGTATCAAAATGCAATACAAAAACGCTTTTAATTTTTAGCATTTAGCTCGCGAGCCGTCGAACGGAAATAAAACGAAATTTGGCTGACACATGGTGTTAAGAGATCACTTCCGTATAGCCGGTAGTTACACGTCCGTGTGCTTGGCACACGTGTGTTACACGTCGCGCTTGTGTTTGGCACGTGGTCATGTTGATTTCTATACATTGCTCTGCCATATTTGTCTGATGTTCGTGTTTCACACTTACATCTACACTGATATTGATGGTGGTGATCAGCGCCCAGACATGCGATACCCTCTGTGATCACGCCCGCCTATCAGTGCACCTCACTTCAGGCTGATCTCGTTGGTTTAGTCTAGTATCAGCGGTGATGGCCTGTACGTGGAATCTTTCGCAGCACTAAAGTCTGGCGGTAGACCAGCGACCACACTGCAGCTATCGCCGTGGCAACGTTTGATATGCTCTCCACAAACACACCTTTAATGGGCCGGCGACTTAATGTCACAGCGAAATGCCCGGGATCTTGAGGAAGTTCAATATTAGCAGAGTGTAACAATGCAGTTCCCTGCTCTCGAGCGGCTTGAGCCAGGTGCAGCTCCTCTGACCGTCCTTAAGTTTCTTATCTCTCGCGAGACGGGAGATATTTTCAACTGCCGTTCAGTCGGCGACGGGACTGCCGCATGCAGCTCAGCCGCCCTGATTAAAGGAAATGCTCCACATTTGAAGGTATTGAGGCAGGCATCAGATGTTATTGGATAAGTTCACTTGTAATTATTGGTATGCTGTTAACTGGAAAACACTGTTTTAGACAACTCGATATCTCTGTTTAGTAAACGCGTTGTACTACACACCATTGTTTGATCTCGTCATCGTAACCTGCACAACAATGACTGAGAGCCAATTGGCGGCCGTTATATCAGGAAGGCGCGATCACAAACGCCAGATATGAACGTCTCGAAAATTATATGTTCTGGGCCTTGACCGCCGTCTGGCCAATGGAATGATGGCTATCTAAATTCAAAACTTCATACCAATATGGAACGCGCTCTTTAACCTAGAAGTACGGAATGAAAGGCAACCGGTCTGGTCAGGTAAGGCCAAATCACGTTTGTGCCCACACTGCGTTGTTTCACATATAACTGACATTTACACGCCACGTACGCTTCATACAAGTCAAAGCACACAGCCATTTCATTCTGAGGGGTAATGTGAGGTAGCCTGTGGTGACCTCACATTTGTCACGAAACACGTTGTCACGCGCTTCATGGCCTCACAGAAGTGACCTCATAGCGCACCTAATGCATGATTTTCCACCACCTTGAGATTTGGTGACCTTTCATTCGGGTACGATCTTCACGGAGGGCACGATGTCGCCACACTGCGAAGGGTCTACTACACCGGTTTTTGCCACGTGAAGACTAAGCCTGACCGGGCCTGACCTCGGAGACCTCTCAATCCACTGACGGGTCTCAGTCACGTGTTTTGGGGGGCACATCGGATCTGAATAACATTCTCAAGGAATTTTCATGGATTACCCTAATGCGGCCTTGACCGAAAATGATTTTAACAAGCAGCACTTAACACCATCAGACTCACTACCGCTGAAGGTATGAGCCACACAAAATTGAAAATGGATCATGGACCAAAACAGCTTTGAAGACATCTTTCTAAGACAGATTTCTGTAGAAACCATTCATTTCTAAATACGCGGTTCAGCTCCGAGCAGGCTCTAAACTAATCTAGCCCAATGTAACGACACACCCCTTGTCCTTAAGCTAACGAAGTCGCAATGCCTTGAACAGCTTGAAGGAAAAGGAAACAGAAAGCGCTTTCCAGAGCACAACAGAGGTGAGATGCATTAGCACAAGTGGAAGCGAAAGATAAACTAAAAAGTCTTATGGTCACCCCAGCCTTATTGCTTGATAGCGCAGAAAATTGATGTTGGAATCGCGATTTTCCTAGACAAGAAAAGCAACTCTTGACCAGCATGGCTATAAACTTGTGTCCTAAATCGGCTTCAGTTCAGACAAGTCCCTAAGACCGATCTGTGGTCAAAAACAGTCATCACAAGTTAATGACATCAGTGTGCATATACCATCACCCCATAAAATATTTGCATCTTAAGTTACAGCCAGTGCCAATGAGCCTCAAAAAGTAAAATTTGGCAACGCTTGGCGCTCAGGCTGTCAGGAATGGCGTCCTAGCAATGCGACGGAATATAACCTGGGGAACATCTCTGGATGGACGCTCGAGTGATGTGTAATAAGATGGCATAAATTCCGATGATGTCATTTGTCGTTTTTGCACAACCGAACAAGTGTCAGTCACTGTTGGATGAGCGCTGACCAGGGTGTTGATACTTTACAGAGAACATTAGGCCGAATCCATGTGTGTATCTGGCTTATATATGAATACAGATGTACAAACTTACAAAACATGATGCTACAAGCACACACGCACACACACACGCACACACACATACACACACACACACACACACACACACACACACACACACACACACACACACACACACATATATATATACATATATATACATATATATATATATATATATATATATATATATATATATATATATATCTCTCTCTCTCTCTCTCTCTCTCTCCTCTCTCTCTCTCTCTCCTCCTCTCTCTCTCTCTCTCTCTCTCTCTCTCTCTCTCTCTCTCTCTCTCTCTCTCTCTCCTTCCATTCCATTTCGGTTCCACCTCAAACCCAATGTGGTGAGAGAACTGCGCAGAACACATTGAAGAATAGGATACACCCACTGAGAAGCACTCGGATGCGTATCAATCTATCCTTATCACACAATTTTATCGCTTGTTTCGTCAGTAGTGCCAAGTGTCAAGACAGAGAACAAGTGTGAAAACAGCACACTCAAACAATCCGCATCAGATAGATTATTTGAGCACACAAACAGCGCTAAACGGATAAAATAGAGCCATCTTGGGCCAATCGTACGAGACAAATCACGCATGACATATTGGAGGATTTTGCATCCGGGTACAAATGCAGGGAACAGTGCGCTGAAAAGGGAGAAGGCGAAAAATGGACAGCGTGATTTCGAACTTAAAGGCACAATCAGTCACCTGCCAGGAAACACAGGTTCTCACCCTGTATTTCTCAACCTACCTCTCCTCCTTTCGGTCTCCCCCCCCCACCTCCCGTCACCTCTCTCTCCTCACCCCTCCCTCCGTCCCTGTCTCCCCTCCCTTCTTTTCTGCCTCTTCTCCCTCACTCCCTTTCTCCCACTTTGTCTCTCGATCTGCCCTTCTCAGATACCAGAACGCCCTGGCCATTCACCAGGGCAACGACAGACATAAAACGCCTCGCACACGACAACCGTGGGCAGATACCGATGCACAAAAAACCGCGAACCCCATGACCCAAAGCAAGGTTGCCCATCGACGCCCGACCCGGCATAAGTGAAGACGCTTCTGGATAGCACAGGCAGAGAACACATATACATCACACCTCACCAGCACCGACGGGCAGGCCGCACTGGGCAACATGGATTGTCCGCCGCCACACTAAGTCCCACCTGTTGCTGAGTATGATGGCGATGACGAAGACGTTGCCCACGATGCCCGGGATAGTCTCGCAGGCGACTCCGACACCGAAGAGAGCCAGCTGCCACGGCGGCATCACGCGCCACGGGTGAAGGTCCCGCTTGCTGCGGCCACCAGAGGTCACTGGGGTCAGCAGCAGGTCATCACCACGGGTGAAGGGCCCGCTTACTGCGGTCACCAGACGTCACTGGGTCAACAGCAGGTCAATGAGGTCAGAAACAGGTCATCGCAACGGGTGCAGGTCCCGCTCGCTGCCGTCACCAGAGGTCACTGGGGGCAACATCAGGTCACTGAGGTCAGCAACAGATCATCGCCACGGGCGGAAGCTCTCTTGCTGCGGTCACCGGAGGTCACTTGGGTCAGCAGCAGGTCATCACTGCGGGTGGAGGTCCCACCTGTTGCTGTCACTAGAGGTCACTGGAGTCAGCAGCAGGTCATCAACGCGGGCGGCCATCACAAGCACAGTAAAAGAAGAGAAAGCGGGCATCACCGGCCATGGGTGAATGCCGTGTACACCGTAGCGGGAGCAGCGGCTGGTCCCTGCCAGCGACGGAGTGGAGCTCACTAAAGGCCTCTGTATACCTGCACTTCAACTTGTTTTCACGGATGCGTAATTTATCGCGAGCTGAAGCAAAATTGGTTCTTTTCCGGCCTCTCGCCAATGGCGCTTACATGACACTATTAGCAAGGGGCTGTTTTTGCGTCATGGAACTAGGTCATGGTTAATGTTGGTAGGTATCGTCATGCAAGCAATGTTTGCATTCCACCTGCCGGGAAATCGATCAGTGCAGAGGCTAGCGTTTCAGCGAAGAATAAGGACAACTGATTCATTATTTCACAGCTAAGTAAAAAAAGCT